AAGAGGAAACAGTGGGACACAGATGTCTGTGGAAAGCTGAAGCCACTTAGAGAGGATGCGTTTATTCGGATTTCCTTCCACTGTGGCTTAATTGCAATGTTTTTTAATGACAGGTAGGACAGGAGCTGGGCTTCTGCCTAAGCACTTCTCCATCCTGCAGAGACGCGCTGAATTTAATATTAACAACAATTAATCACAGCTACCAGGAAGCACCCGGCAGCATTCCCTGCCCCGGGAGTGCTTGGTTCACATGCTCAGCCCCATTAATTCCCATCTTCAGGCAAATGGCACTGGAAAGTCACAAGGAAGCTCACCACCAGCTCACCCTCCTGTGTTCCATTTTGTCTCCTTGTGCCCCAAAGGGCTGCTTGGATAATTTCAGCTCCCTGCAGGCTGGCTGAAGTACACTGGATCTCAGGTTGCTCCAAGCCCTCTCCAACATGGCCTTGAACACTGCCAGGGACGGAGCAGCCACAGCTTCTCTGGACAACCTGAGATGCCATGTCCACCGGGGTCTTCCATTTGCAGCACAGGGCATTTTAGGTGCAAGGTTTGGAGGGGCTTTGGCCCTGGCATTGAATACATGGGTACAGCAGGGGACAGGCTGGACAGGGATGGTCTCCACCTTGTCTTTCCCTGCAACATGCAGTGTGGTGCCTGGAAAAATGTGTTGCAAATGAGCCACTGGAATATTGGATATTTTCACCTGTGAAATGCAGAGATGCCACCAAAGAGTTGAGGTTAGGAAGGGCAATCAAAGGGGATCGTAAACCTCTGGGCTTGTGTTTGAATATTGGCAATGCCACTGTCAGCTTTGGGAGACCTTTGGGGAATCTGCTCAAGGCCCACTTTGATGGGAACACCCTGGGCACAGGAAGGACCCAGCCGCCACTGAGCTCTCGGCAGCACCAGCGGCTCTTCCCCACCATGACTCTAAGAGAAATATTGTCTTTTCCACCCAAGAGATGGAGCAGAGCTGCAGCCAGCACCACGTCTCAGTGGAATCAGTTTTCGCTCTGCCAGGAGTGTTACCGGCTCATGATTCACATCTTTACAGCAGCTTTGGAAAGAAACTGTGCTGCTTGCCAGGCAGACCTTCACACACATCAGGATGCCACAGTTTTTCCAGACTTTCCAAAGGAAGCCATGGCCAAGTGAGACATTCCTTCTGCTCTTCCAGCTTTCTTGGAACAACCTTCTCTGATCAGTGAGTGAGATAGACAGTTGGAAAAACAGACAGGCAGACAGGCCAGGCAGTAGGGTTATAATAGGTAGTTTGCATGACCCCCAGCTTTCAGTAGGATGGTGCCTCCATCCACCTCATGATGGGTGACTGGTGAGAGCCCCTCCTGCTCCCCATGGTCCTCAACCCCCTGTTCTCCCCCGTGATCCCCAGACCCCTGCCCTCTGCTGTGGTTCCCAATCCCCTGCTCTCTGCTGTGGTCCCCAGTCCCCTGCCCTCCACTGCAGACCCAGAGCCAGGTGCAGCGCAGGCTCTGCTTTGCAGCACAGCTCCTGCCTGCCTGGGTGCTTTGCTGCCTGGGAAAGCACGGAGGCCACTTCCAGGCAGGGCATCCCTGCAGGGCTCTCCCCGGAGCAGCAGCCAGAGCAGGCGGGATGCAATGCAAAGCTGGAGGGAGGCGAAGCAGGCACAGTGCAGAGCATCCCCGCGTGCTGCAGCCCACCTCACCGCCAAGGCGCACGGTGCTGCCAGCGAGGCTGAGTCACGGGCACTGTGCCTGCCGTGGCGCGTGGGCCCCCAGCCGTGACTCAGCCCCATGGCTGCCAGCGCTTGGCCACCCTGCGGCTCCCACTTCTCCCCAGAGCTTTGTGCCACAGCCCCCGTGGGTGAATCAGAGATGGCTTCGTGCGGGTCCCTCAGGGACGAGGGAAGGGTTGGTTTTTCTCTCATGGCAGGGGCTTCTGGGAGGGGAGGAGGAAGAGGGGGAGCACACAAAAAAAGAGCATCTCCTGGTGCGACTGGGAGCAATAATCTGTCCCACCAGGAAAGATCATGCTGCACTGGAGCGCAAAGCAAAGGAGCTGGGGGTCACCCTGCTCCTTTGTGCCTATGGCTCAGGAAGCCGGGTTGGCAAAAGCAACCAAATGGCTCAGGTATGGCCAGCAGGTCCTGTGCAGGGATGGGTAGGAGGCTGGGGTGTGGGGAAGGAGGTGGGAGCTCCTGCCTCACTCCCTGCAGCTGCACTCCCTTGGACATCCCACCCCCGGCACCCACACCAGCAGGAGAAACACAACAAGCATCCCCAGGGAGTGTGTTTGGGAAATACCAGGTTTTATTAGACAGGTTGATGTTCAAGCTGACAGTTTTATCCCAATGCACACAATCACGAGCATCTACGTGGGGCTATGTCCCAGCTCCCTCCTTCCTGTGATGCTCTAAGGCAAGACGCTCAGCCCCCCAGTGCCACAGGCGTAGGGCCTTGGGGTTTCTTGGCAAAATGAAAAGGTCTTCCTGCTCCCCATTTTTGCTTTCAGATTCCCAGAACTCTCCTAAGAAAGCCTGGAGAGAGCTGGGCTAGGGACTGCGATCCTCTTGGGACTTGGTGCCACTTGGATCCACAGAAAGAGAAAGCATCTTGGTGTTAGCATCTCCCAGAGCCAGCATGGAGCTGGGTCAGCATGTGCCACAGGGAGCAAAAACCAGCCCCAGCCTCAGACCACCACTGCCATCACTTTGGAAAGAGAATCCTGACGTACATTATCATGGGGGGAAACAGGGTTTGGCTGTCACAGAGGAGCCCCAGCCAGGACATGGGCACCAGGGTTTGTACAGGGCATGCAGGTGCTGAAGGGAAGAGGAAGGGAGGAGAGGAGGCAATGAGTGCTGGAGGATAACGCAAAAGAAAAGAAGGAGTGAGGAGAACAAGGGGGGCAGCCTGAGAGCAGAGCAATGATGTCTTCAGGTTCCAGGCCATAAGGGAGAGTCAGAGCTCATTTCTGGGATGGGAGACTCTACCCCTGGGTGCCCCAGAGTTCGTGGGCTTTGGGGGGACAGGGCAGCAAGGAAAGAGGCGGAACTTGCAAATAGAAACATTCAATGATCTTTGCTTGCAGTGACAGTGATGTGCAGTGTGACGGCAGGAACAGTGACAGCATAGCCCATTCTGTTGTTGGTGTTTCTATTCCATCAGCTCTTAATGGAGAGCACGCAGACAGGCCCAGCGGAGGAGAGTGAGAGGCAAGGAGGAGTGGGTGAGACAGAGAGGGATGCTGATGAGCAACAGGATCATGTACAAGAAAGAAGAAGGAACAGCAGTGGAGGGGGCAGCAGCTCTGGGGCAGGTCTGAGACCTCATGGCACTGACTCAGGAGCACAATGATTCTCTCTGGGCTGCTCTGCCTGCTGCTTTCTCTGATACTCTACTTCCCTTCCCTTGGACCTCCAGTCCCCTTCATGCTGCAGGCAAAATCGCACTGCATGAGCCATGCCTTTCCCATGCTTGGGTGTAGATTTGTGTCTGGTTCAAATGCAGAGTTCTACCTCGAAGCAGAGGCAAGGAGCATGGGAGTCCCTGGACAGCATCCCTCAAATTCACCTGGACTCAAGGGGACGTCTTCTTCACAGCACCCGGCCTCAATGCCAGGGAACATGGAGCTCCTATGGACCTTCTGCCTTTGCTCATGTCCTTTTGGGCACGTGGAGGCAAGGGGCACAGCCCTTCACACCCTTCTCGTCACAACACAGCCTTCCATTCCCAGCTTTCTCTTTCCCTCTTTCATCCCTTTTTCATTTTTCTTGCCTTAGCCAGCACCTCCACACTTTTGTGCTCCAGAGGCTCCTGAAGAGCACCCTTAGCTGCAGTTGTTTGACAAGAGGAAGCAGAAAGGATGTTCAGCAGGTCATTGGTGGGCTCGAAAGTGCCATTCTCCATCCAGAGCAACATCTACCTCTTGGTCAGTTCATGTGTGGCTCAGCAGCCAGCTGTGCTGTCCATGAGGGCCAAGTGATGAGGCCATGCCTAATCCCCTGGCTTTCACTGGCAGGTTTCAAGGCCAGCTGTCCACAGGGAACCTCCCCCTGCTCAGATGCTTCCAGAGCAATACTCCTCCCAGGACTGAGCACTGATGCACAGACGTGAGCCAACAAATGGCTAAAATGGGGGAAGTTTGATGAACAAGCCACAGAAACCTGCCTGGATTGTCCTAGGGAGAACAGAGCAACAGATGGGATAGTGACCCCCTGTTCCTGCCTCCCTCCAGAGAGCACAAAACCATGAGGATCTGAGGGACTGAGAAAACAGACACATGGACTTGAACAAGGTCAAACTGCCAAACTTTTGATCCTCAGAGCCCTGCTGACTGCAGGCTTGACTTGCCAGCCTGGGTTTTTCAAGTTAATGGCACATGCAGCCATGAAGTGCCCTCTCTCTGTGCTGGCCCACGGGGAGGAAAACCCGCTCACAGCATCCTGCTCATAGGACTGTCTGATGTGGGGTGCTGGCCCTCCTCCTCCAGCACAGCTCAGCCAGTGCAGGCAACTCTTTTCCAGCCCACTTCTTCCTCTGACATGGACTTGCAAATTCCACCATGGCCACCTGCCTGGAGCTGCAAATGCCCCTGCAAAAGCCCCTTCATAAGGTGAACACCGAGGCAAAGGCTGCAGATCAACTCCACTGTTGACTGAAAGGGCAGGGCAATCAAAACGTCTCAGAAAGGAAAAACAAGATCAGTATTTGTGGAGATTTGTAGGAAGTTTGTGCTTGAAAACAACAGCTGGGACCTGGCCTCTCTTTCCTTGCCCAGCACTTTGTGCCAGGGCTCCCGGTGATGCCTGGGTTAGTGTGTCACCACTCTCCCTTGTGCTCTCATGCTGTGCCCTCATTCTTGCTCCCTGCTGGCTTCGGGGATGCAGAGGTTGAAATTCCTCTTCACGCAGTGCTGGCACCAGTGAAAAAGCAGCTACAGTTCTAGCTCACCGTGCATTGCTCATACTTACAGCTTAAACATTGCCTTCTACTCAAAAGAACAAAGATAAAATGTCAGGAATTCACAGTTTTTATTCTCTTTCTTATGCCCACCCATCTTCCCCTGCCATCGATGTCAATGACTCAACGTCCTCATCGTACAGCAGCCTTTGCCAGTGTGGCACTCAAAGGGTTAACAAACCACGGCTTCTTGGACAGATAAGACATAAGCTCATTCACCGATAGGAACACGTGGACGGTCAGATCACAGAAACACCTTAGGGCTTCCTGTAGCGATTCTTTGGAGTTTCACCACAGCCAGTGATGTCGCAGGAGAGAACATTGGGCTTCTTTCCCAAGCCAATGCTTCCCAAGAGATCGGGAAGCTCACGAGTGATGGCCTTCTCGATCTTCTCTAGGAAACACCCTCCCATGTAGGAACACTGCTGAGACAGCAGCTTAAAACTGGTGATTGGGTTGATGCCAAAGAAGTCCTTGTAAGCCTCACGGTTGGGGAGGTCAAATTTGCTGACATTGGTCTTTGCCAGAATGGATTTAAAGATAAAGAACTTGTCAGGATCTTCCACAATGTCCCTGAACACCAGTTCTCCATCGCTAAAGAAGGTCATTTTGTCCTTGTAGGTCTGTAGATAGCGATCGACCAAAAGGGCGTGGATGCGCACCCGGATGGCGTGCTGGCGTATGAAGGCGATCTTATTTTCCATCCTGTTCTCAATCACCTGGTTGAGATCTTCCAGGAGCGATATCTCTTCTTTGAGGAACAGGTCTCTGTGGGTATCCGGATGGTAGTCCTGGGGCCAGAAGGAGCTCACGTACACTCTGGGCGGCTCCGTGACATTGATGAGAGGAGCCAGGCTCCAGAATAGGGCACCGTAGACTCTCATGAGCTCCTGGGTAGCCAGGCTGTCAGCTTTGTTCAGGATGATTCGAATCTGAGATTCACGGCCCTTCAGCTGGCGAAAGAGCATCTCCAACTCCAAGCCCACATCCAGCTTCGTAGGGTCAAAGACAATGAAGATGAGATCAGCTCTATCAATGAACCACTGGCACACGTCATTGAACGGGTAACCTTGGGGAGAAGAAAGAGAGAAATCCAGCAGAAATGGTCAGCACAGGATGAGTCCCTTCAGGGAAGGGGATAGATAAAGCATGAGCCTGCTGTGCCTCACGCCCTGTCTGGGTTGGACAGGGTGTGAGACACAGCAGACTTCCGATGCAGCCTAGAACCTGTTTCACATGTGCTAAAAACACTTCAGAGTTTCTTGGCTTGAAAACCCATCTCTATGTGCCTGGGCCTGTGACTACGTGTCTCCCTCAGTCCCACCTCCAAACCTTCTTTCTCCCTGCTGCTGGCCAGATTCCTGCTGCTCCTATGATTATATATCAACCATGTCACTGCTTTCCCCAGTAGGCACCAAGTGAGTCAGGAATCCCTGCTGATCTGTCCTGGTCCACCAAGTGCTGTGGGGCTTCTCTGAGCCCTGCTGTAGCACCAGCCACTGGCAAAGCCTGGCTCCAAGGCTGACAAACAAGGTATTAAGTCAGTAGCTGAGGCACATCTCACATCCTTACAGCATCTTTCCTGGAGTCCCTTAGGTGAACCCAGTAAACCCTTACCTCGTTCTTGCTGCTTGCGGTTTTCAATGATGCCTGGCGTGTCCACGAAGGTGACTCGCTCCAGCAGCTTGTGGGGCACCTCAATCCCTATCAGCTTCTCCAAGAAGTTCTGCCCAAACTTCTCCAGGGGAGAGAAGGAGCGGGCACTGTCGGCAGCCATGACGATGCCCTCAATGGTCTTTAGCTTGGGGCCATGCATGATGACAGTGAATTCAGAGGTGGTGGGTTCTGCCCCTGCCCGGAAACAAGAACAGCAGAGCAGTGAGATTTGTGCTGGCCAATGGACATGATAGGGCTGGCCTTAGACTAGCTGGGGAGCTCAGGAGCATCACTCGCTTGCCAAGAGATGTTGGAGGAAGGCAAGCAGCAGGGCTATGAAATTCTTGCCAAACCTCTTGAGAAAATGCCAGCAGGGCTGATTTCTGCAGGGACTGGTTGTTCTGGAGGTGGCCTGACTGCACAAGGCACCCTGGAGAACCACCGCCTGGGAACACTCATTACCACAGCACAGAGCCGGCCACGGACATCTGCCCTTGGCTGTGATATGATACCTGTGGGAGTAAGGAGGCGGGAAGGGGAATGGATTTTATCCTGGAAGGGCAAATTAATTGGCTCCACGTGAGGAGGGAGGGGAAGAATACAAAGGCAAGTTGCCCTTGTGATGTGACCACTGCTTTTGAAATCGGGGTCAGAGGCAGCGAGTCCTGTGCTGTGGGACAGGGATGCTGCAGTGGGAGATGCCCTTCTCCCCAGGGAACCTCTTCTTCTGCATGGTACCACAGAACAGATCTCAACCTCCCTGTTGTAATAAGGGGGATTGAAGAGACGTGGCTGGGAATCACTGACCACAGGGATGCAGAATGCAGGTGTCAGCACACTTTTGGCAGAGCAGGGAGGGAGCAGTGAGTGTGGTACCTGTGTAGAGCTGGTAGGGAGTATTGTCCAGCCCGAGGAGGTAGTTTATCATAGAGGATTTGCCAACGCTCCAGGGTCCCAGGAATAGCACCATTGGCTTGGAAGTGATCTCCCCATCTGCAGAGAGGGGAAATAACAAGAGGAAGTGAAGAAACAATAGCTGTCGCCACTGTGCGATTAACTCCCGGCTGTAATGAGCATCCCATCTGAGCAGCGCCATGATGCTGCTGGGGAAACAGCCACCCTTTGGGGCCACCAGCCATTCACGAGCCAAGGCATCACCCAGCAATGGGCCCTAGTGTCTGCAGGAGCAGGGCATCACCGTGCTCCTCACTTGTCTGACCTGATCTGAGCTTTGTCCTCTCTTAGGCTGCAGGAGGACTAGAAGGCCTTTTAAATCTTATATCAGCTGGTTCTGGTTTAGCTGGAGTGACTTTGGGGCTGGCTGTAGGAGCAGCTGCCACAAAGCATGAGACATGTGGATGAGGTGCCCATGCTGCCACCAGGCAGATGAATGCCTCATGCAAAGGGAGCTGGCATGGTCTAAGGAGCAACACTATGGTGCAGTGCTTGGTAAGCGCAGTGCAAGCCTTGTGCCAGCTCCCTGTAAGCCTTTCCACCATACCCTCACAAGGATCCACTCCTGCGTTTTGGCTCCCAGCCCTCTGGTCAAGCAGAAGGTCCCTGCCTATGGGTGAGTTGGGTGTGAGGCTCCAGCTGGTGCAGGGAAGGCAGGCTGGGTAAATGTCCCTGCTTTGGGCTTGGGAAAGGCAGGAGGAGAATGAATTATAGTCCTCATCTGACACTATTCTAGTCCCACAATTTGCTAAGGGCTCAAGGAGGCTGGTGATGGGCCCATAAGGATCTGTCCCTATGCCACACAATTGGTCCAGGAGCACAGAGGTCCCTGGACACATAAGCCATTGCCCCCAGGAGCAATCCCCGCTCGAGCAGGACTCATGCAATCAGCCTGTGCCCACAGTGCTTGACCCCTACAGCCCCCAGGCCACAGGGCAGGCAGACAGCAGAGCCAGAGAAGCCCCCAGGCCGTGCCAACCCTCAAGCCATGCCCGGGACAGCTAGTCAGCTGGAGACCGAGTCAGGACAGGAAGGAAAGTAAAATCTGGATGAGTGAGTTCCTGTTGGTGGGAGCCTTCCCTGGGTGGGAGAGGCTCCATCCCACGCTGCCAGCAGGAGTCCAGCCAGCGGAGGGGCTGGATGCCACTGGAGGAGCTGGAAGCTTCTGTCCCTCAGACAGAGCTGAGCCTTCCCCCATGGCCCAAGGCAAGGAGATGCTCATGCGGTACCTGCAGTGCCTTTGGGACCCTCTCTGGCCCCACACCTAAGGCAGAGCTATTTTCCCTGCAGTGGCTGAGAGACCCCATTGCTTTGTGGCTGCTGCTCACACAGAAGCCAGCAGCTTTCCAGCAAGCCGGAGATCCATCTCCAAGGTGCAGGCAGCTGCAAAGCTCACATGGTGCTGAGCTCCCTCCCAAGGGCGCTGGAAGGCAGTGCATGGTGGCTCTGCACCAAACCCATCTGTCCATGGGTGCAGGAGTTGGGCAGGACATGCCAGCCTCCTCCTGCCTGCACCTGCCCATCTCAGGGCCAGCATGTCACCACTGGGCAAGGCAATGGGCTGGGGACATCTCATGCCAGGGGCACAGCAGCATTTGTGCAGCTCAGCCCTCCTCCCCGAAGCAGGGCAGCCATGTCCAAACCAGGGGGACAGCCCAGGCCTCTGCCCGTGAGCTGCCTGGGAGCTGCAGGGATCCAAAAGTATCTTCTCACATGGGACTAAGCCAAATGTTGAATCCTCGGACTTTTGATACTAATCACTCCTCTGTGCCATTTTATCGCTGCTGCTCTGTTCTCTTGCTGCTTTAATGGGGTTTTGGATTATTATTATTATTATTATTATCGCCTGTGATGTTGTGCCAGAGGTTTGAGGCGGGTCCCTGTGTGCTCTTTCACAACACACTCCTGGCCAGGTGGGGCTTTGTGAACATGGCCCCGCACCACATCCTCACCTCTGCCCTGCTGTGCTGGGACAGGCAGCAATGCCCGCAGTGCTGTGCTGGGTCACCAACAGCTCCTCGAGCCCACCTCTACCCCCTGCTCTGGGAGCAGCGTGCTGGCACCCCACAAGCTTTGTGAGCACTGAATCCTTGTGGCTCTGGAGCTCTGAGGATGCTCTGAGGATGACTCCATGCATGGGTCCTCCTTGCTGCTGCCCAGGGTCTGGGAGAGCAAAGAGCATCTCCCACTGGGGAGGGAGCTGGCCTGGCATCTGTCCCTGCTATGTCCTCTTCCACTGAATCTCTCAGCACCAATTTGGGTCGCCTTGACGGTCCAGCTGGGGGAAAAGAGACAGTCCTTGCCAGCACAGGGCAGGGATGGCAGCAGCTTCATCACCGCAGCTCTCTCCAGCCACCCTGTGGCTGCTCGCTCCCAGCCTCGCCTGCCTCACTCCCCAGCTCCAGCTCATCCCAGCTCCATCCAGACATGTCCTGGTGGCATTTGTAGGAGTCACAGGCTGGTGCATGATCAGGCTCTACCTGTGAGCAGGGAGGGTCTTCAAACCCTAAACCACTTCATCTGTGCACCTGCTTGCAACACAGCAGCTTAAAACACCTTCATTAAGCTGCCAGGTTTGCAGAGTAAGGAGCATGCTGCAGTCCTGCCATGCCCCTGGCAAACAAGGCCAGGAAGGTCATGTCTCCCTCCACAGAGCCTGCATTTGTCTTGCACTCTGGGGGTAGGGGCAACCTGGATGTCCAAGTAGGGTCTATTTTTCCTAAAGCAATGGCTTTCTGGGAGGTTTTGGATGTTGCTTGCAACGCCAGGCTGCCGTGGGTGGGAGCACTGCTGCACTGGGGCTGGGATTAACCCTGGGCTGGGTCTCTCCCTCCTTGTCCTCAGGCTCAGCAGAAGTGGCTGGTGTCAGCTCACCCCGCACTGTGCAAGTCTGTCCCGAGGATGGTGGGCAAAGCGGGGGACACAGCAAAACTTCCTCTCCTAGTTCAGACTGAACCACAGGCACAAACATCGTGCTCTGTCCTCAAACCACTCAGGACACCTAAATCACCACAGGAGACCCTCCCAGCATCGCCCACACTGCCCCTGCACACCGCTGGCCACTCTGCCTGCGTGGGGTGGGACACGAGGGCCAGAAGATGGGATTTCCCTGCCTCATATTGCAGCAGGGACATTGTCCCCATGGACCAGCACCGGACCCAGGGGAAAGGCTGGGTGTTGGCTGGTATTTCCTGGCTGGTCTCCCATCTCCTGCTTCTCCAAGGGACCTGGCATCACACCGTGAGCAGGAAAGGCAGGGAGAGGAGCCAGCTGCGGCTCCCAGGGGGCTGAGGCTGCCACACAGGGGCCAGCCTGTGCTACTGGGACAGCTGCTGCGGGCTTATCAGCTTAAACTGCAGCCAGAGGGGACCAAGGGTGGACACTGGGGAAATTTGTTCAGGTAGAAGGGTGAAGGGTGGGAAGAGCTCCCCTCCACAGGGAGGGCGATCTGATGGGCTCCTCCAGTTCAAGCTACAGCTGAAGATCTACCCGCAGGTCCACCACAAATGCCTTTGGAGCACAGCTAGAGAATTACGCAGCCTCTGGAATCTTTATCCCAAGAGGGAAAGGTGTCAAGGCCTGAGGGAGGCAGGGACTGCAGGAAGGAGGGGACTGATGGGGTGCACAGAGTCAGGCCAGAGACAAAGTGAAGCAACACACGTGCTGAGCTCTGGAAGGGCTGGGGACATCAGTGGGTGCCATGGGATGCTGAGTGCCAGGGTCTGCTCAGTGCCCAGAAAGTGTGGCTCTGCTGAGGCAGGTGAATAGGGAAAGCCACAGGCCAGCAGAAAGCTTGGGCAGCACTGGCAGCATGCAGGCAGCAGGCAGCGATACCAACCTGTGGCAGAAGAGCCCAGGGTGCGTCCAGGATAAGCTGTTAGCAGGGGACACAGGGAGAGAGAAAATGTACCGTGAGTCGAAGGAGGGATGCAGCTGCCTGGGTCTGGCCCAGGCCAAGGAGGGAGATGAAGACTGGCCCTGGCCTTCTTGTGGGCAGGAAAAGCCAAGCGACGGCCACATTCCCAGTGGGAGAGAAGGAGTTACAGTCTATGAGCAACAAGACCTGCAGCTACCAGGACAAGCACTAAACCCCAGTCTGTTTTGCACACCTGGAATGTGGCTCAACAGAGCAGCCCCAGGAGAGCTGCCACGTCTGACAGCACCCAGCCCTCCTGCTCCACTGAGTGGAGTTATTGTCATCCCCAGCAGCATTCACCGAGCAAAAGGAGCCCAACAAGCCATGGTCACAACAGCAACTAACCATGACAAGTGCTCTGACCACCCCAGCGGTGGGCTTACCCATATCCAGCTGACAATGGCAACTGGGAGGTCATTCCTTATAAAGGGAAACTTGCTAATTGGCACATATAGAATCATGGAATCACAGAATGGTTTGGGTTGGAAGGACCATCCAGTTCCAGCTCCCAGGTGTCTGGGACACCAGCCATAAGACCTACTCAAAGCCCTACCCAACCTGGCCTTGAACACTGCCAGGGATGGGCAGACACAGCTGCTCTGGGCAACCTGTGCCAGTGTCTCACCACTCTCACAGGGAAGAACTTCTTCCTAATGTCTGAACTAAGTCTCTCCCAGTTTAAAACTATCCCACTTGTCCTGTCACTACATGCCCTTGTATAAAGTCCCTCTCCAGACTTCCTGTAGCCCCCTTTAGATGTTGGAAGACTGTTACAACATCTCATCTGAGCCTTCTCCAGGTTGAACAAGAATAAACTGTCTCAGCCTGTCTGCATGGGAGAGGTGCTCCAGCCCTCTGAGCATCTTTGTGGCCTCCTCTGGACTCACTCAAGCAGGTCCATGTCCCTCTTGTACTGGAGGCCCCAGAGCTGGACACAGGACTGCAGGTGGGGGTGTCACCAGAGTGGAGCAGAAGATGAGAATCACTTCCCTTGACCTACTGGTCACGCTCCTTTTGATGCAGCTGGTTTGGCTTTCTGGGCCACAAGTAATATACATAAGTATTTACACTTATGTATATTCTTATATATATATACTTATATATATATATAAGTATACAGTAATTAGGGTTACCAGCATGCACTACAAACCGGCATGAGTTCACAGCAAGCTTCCCATCATCAGACTGGGAGAGTCCCTCACCCCTGAGCTAGGGACAGTCCCTATGGGGTGGTCCTGCTGTGGCCAAGAACACAGGCAGACCCAGCCAGAGGGATGGCAGAGTGGGGATGCGGGAGGGTGGCAGCAGGGAAGAGGGGGTGGCACCTGCCAGGCTTAAACACACTGTAAGCAGAGGGTGTGGGGTGAGCTTTCTGGGATGCACCCTGACAATTCATTCTTCGGTTGATGATGGAAGTCACAGCTCCCTTGTGACTACACGGGTGCTTTTGCAAGTGGTGGGAGCAGAGGGGCTCCCTCTTACACTGGTGTGTGCGAGCAGAGCTGCTGGGAAGGCAGACAAAATGGAGGGCTGCTGTGAAATGGAGGGGCGAGGTGCTTGCGACGACACCCCTCTATATTGGCTTACACCTCCAAAGGTCACACATATTCCATGACAGGCCTGCCCCGCTGCTCTCCCAGCTGTCCCGCTCCTCCCAGCTCGCTGAGCCGGCAGCTCTGTGCCCTCCAGCCTCCCCCCTGCTGTAGGGGGACAGAGCAGGACACTGGGGACATCTTCCAGCTTGCAGGGCACCACCAGTGCAAGGAACCTCGGAACACAGGCGCTGTGCAGAGGAAGCAGCTCAGAAGGCTCCCTCAACCTCACCGTGTCCTCACTGCCTTGCAAGGTCAGAAGAGCTCCCTACACCAACCCTCTAATTTGTAGGTTTCTCTAATTACATAGCTAATGAGGGATTGGGAAAAGATGGATCTGTGGGTATTAAAAGCAAACTACTAGAATTCCAGGCTAGGGTTGTGTTTTAGGGTATGGTTGGGATGTCAGAGATGCTTTAAGGAGTTTGGTTGCAAGAGAAATGTTTTGAGGGGAGCATGTGGCTAGGGCCTCTCATGGCAGAGCCAAGGCTTGCGGGGAATGCAGCATCCATGTACCCTTCTCTTAGGGCCAGGAGGCTGTAAGCATGAGCTACCAGCCCTGGGACTGCATTTGCACCACTGGGAGGGTGGCATGTGGGACACAACAAGGTGTGCTGGGCACTCACACTGGGAGCTGACCCGGGGGACTGTCAGTCTGAGGGATGGGTTTTCCTTAGGGTGAAGTGGAACAGACTGTGGAGTGCTGAGAGGAATACCAGGACCCGCTGTCTGCTGAAAAGGGGCCTCAGGTCTGGAAAGCACAGGGATTAGTGGTTTCCTCAGGAGCTGGGAGGGAGGAAGTGAGCAGGGGCCTGGGAAACACTTGCTTCCTCCCAGAAAGGGAGCAGGGAGGTGGCTGGTTGGGCATAGGATGGCTGAAGGGCAGGGTGGGATGTTCTGAGCAAGGAAATGGGTTGTGCACTGGGAACTGAGGCTGGGGCTGTGTGTTCTGGCAGTGAGGAGCAAAGTGAGGGTTAGAGGCTGCCCCTGTAACCCCAAACAGTACCCTAAACAGTGTCCAAGCCTGAGCTGACAGCAAATGTGGATGCTTGTCCTGCTACCAACACAGACCGCATCAGCTTGGACAGGATGCTGGGCTGTTGCTGAATCTGTGAGCCCCAGCATGGAGGCAGCTGGGAAAGGGCATGGCTGGGCTGTCCTCACTGCATGGTGCCACTGCTGAAGAAGCTGTGGGGATGCACACTGGGGTGCCAGTCCTACAACTCCAATGCTCCTTTCCCAGGTATCTGGCAGCACTGTGCTGGCTGCATGCAGGAGGGGCAGGCCAGCACACTTGGAGTGACAGTATCTATGAGGTGATGGTCCCTGGGGCAGCTCTCCTGTGCTGGCTGCAGCACGGCCTGTGAGCCTCCGTGTTCCCCTCCCACATGGCAAGCAGATCAGGGTCCCCTAATGCTGGCAGGCAGCACAGAGGGAGGTGACAAAGGCACTGCAAAGGCAGCAGCATGGAACTGCCTGTGGGAGGCAGCTAGGCAGGGCTTTTGTTTGAAACCTACAACTGCCCCATCCAGAAGCACTGTGGATGTTGTGGATGATGTCCAGGGTGCTCTGTGTCTTGATAGGTCAGAACCTGGGCTGGTGATGAGGACTCTACAGCCCTGTCCCTGCCCCATGGATCCCCACTGAACAGGGATCTTGGGCTTGGGCTTGAGTCATCTGCACTTGGAAAATGTGGCTGCTTGTGTCATGTGGGTCACAAGAGCTTCCTGTACTTTGTGAGCATCCTGGGACCAGGGCTGCACTTTCCCCTTATGGAGGGATATGTGTACTAATGGGGCTCAGCCCAAGCCAATGCTGGTGGCCACAGGGACCTGCTCACCTGATCCAATAGGTCTGTAATTGCCAAGGGGAAGAAACTCTAACTCCCAGGATGAGTGAAGGCTGTTCAGCTTGAGGGATACCCTGCCCACATGGCTGTCCTGTACTGAGCAGGAAGGATGCCAGCTCCAGGCACCCTCAGGAAGCTCATCCCCAGCCTTGAGAGGTCCTAAGCTTCCTTGCCAAGCCTGTTTCATTGGGTCGTGATCTCTGCTTGGCAGGGGTACAGGGCATTGATGCTGAGCAGGTGGAGGACCCGAAGCAGGCAGGGTTCAATGCTCAGCCCACACAGATGATACTGACAGCAGATGGGCTAAGGCAGATGAGGAAATGCCTGCCTCTGGGTTCACTAGGGCATGTCCACTAAGCCCAGCAAGTTCATGGCCTTCTTGGGAAGCTGCAAAGGAAGACAAAGTATCCAAGCCTTTCCATGATCTGCTCTGTTATCGGCATCCCAATGACCTGATGGTGCAAGAGGCCCCAGTGCCCATGGCATTACCTGTGATCTCATGCTGCCTCAGCTCGTTGTATCTGTAGGACTGCTCCAGAGGCTTGATGGAGGAGTGGTAGATCTTCCTCAGCCGCTGCAGTACTCCTGTAGGGGCAGAAGCATGCAGATGGGTGAAGGTAAACCCCACCACCATGGTTGAGTCCCCTGTAGGTGAGTTGTTGGGCATTCCCTGCAGATCCCATGGATCAAGGGGCCTGGCTCACAGTTGAAATCTTGGCGAAACTTATCCTGCTTAAACATGTTGATGCCCCTCCCCAGCTAATGTTTCCCACTGGGCAACAGTCCCTATGTGCTGCCAGTGTTTCACATGCCAGTGGCTGGTGGAAGGGACACCCTTCATTAATGCTATTTCGCAGTCAATACCTGTGATCCCAAATAGCCCTCCACCATGATGACAGGGTCCCTGGCACAGCCCTTAAGCTGCTCACTAAAGGAAGGAAAGAGCCTTTTCCAGTCTAGACTGCCCATGGGGCTAGCAGAAGCAAGCCTTATAATAGCAAACCCCAATAAATAATTAGAATAGAAATCCCAACTCTTTATCACAAGTTGTCCCAGGTTTCTCTGGGCAGGGATGTGGCTGGCTCGGGCTGATTCACAATCTGCATCTTCCAGCCTCTGTGTCCTCCTAATTCTTGCAAACCCTTAGGATTGTCTTTAAAATACCCAAAATTAGGTTAACCCAAGAGCAGCAAAAGGGCTGTTACCAAAGATACAGTGTTGCTCAATTTGCAAGAACTAATGTTAAAACCAAACACTCTGGGGGAGTAGAATCTCATCCCTGCTCTCGGTGCAGCAGAATAGCGAGGAGCTGTCCTGCAGGGATCATGTGGACTGAAGGATTAGGGCACGCATGGTTCAGTGACATCCATGCCCCTGACCTGAGAAATCATCGGCGGGTTTGTCCTCGTTCAGCTTGAGGGTGTTCTCCAAGTGGGACCGGTCACGCTTGGTCAGCTTGCTGGCATCTTCAGCCTCTTCTGCAGGAAAAAGGAAAGGAGACCTGTTAGAGTGAAGGGGAGGATCAATACAGGGGCTCACACAAGGAGAGGGCACTGGGGAGCACACACACCCCAAGCCTGGAACCGCCGTGCACCTCAGCAACCCCCATTGCCTTTGGCACACCGTGCGGGCTCTGTTTTGCGAAGGCTCCTGGAGGCTTGGCAGAGGCTGCCAGAGCTATGGCTGCTGGGGAAGCGTCAGGGGCCACTGCTTGGCTCCAAGAAGGGGCTGGTGAGGGAGGCGCGCCCTGCATCCCCGGGGGGAGCGAGGGACAGCCACTAATGGGGAATGCGGAGGACGTGCCTGGAAAGGGCTCCCAGGGCTGTGTGCAGGGCAAGCACGTGTGGCACCTGCAGCCCGATGGGGCCCCTGCCCACCCCCAGCAGCTGCGGCTCTTCCCAGGCTAAGCCTCGAGTGCCGGCACGCTCTGCTCTGCCACTCCCCAGGAACCGTGCACTGAGCCAGAGACACGAGCATGTGTGAGCCTGGGGCTGGCGCTTGAGAGCCTGACCTGACCCATCCACAGCAGGCTCATTCCCTCCTCCTCCCACCTCTGCCCCCATATCAGGCTGGAGCTTTCTGAATGGGGCCCTGGGGACCCTGGGGCTCCATGCTAGGCTGAGGGAGAATGAGGTGGTTGCTTCCCCACAGGGTGGGCACGCCAGTGTCCCCGAGACAAAGACATGTCCTTGCCCTGGAGGTGCTGGCACACCAAGGGCCACATGCAGTGCTTTTTGATAACAGGAGCTGGGTCAGGCTTTAGTGGAGGTTGGGGGGCAGGTCTAGGGACAAACATGTGCCAGCAGGCTGGGCTGGGGATGCCAGGGGCAAGCAGGGCACTGTCAAGCCCTGGGGTTGTGTGGATTGTCTACTGAGTGCTGGGCTGAGGAAGACCTTTTGACTTGCCAAGTGAAGCCACAGAGATAAAACTGGGTTTCCCTTTCAGCACAAATGGGAACTTTTTGAGCTGGGATGTTACAGATGAAAGCAAAGAAAGACTCATCTGGGTCCAAAGGTTGCTGCCCAGCCCATAGGCCAAAGTCCACAAGCATTTCTAGGAGCGGGGTGTCCCTTTTCCTTATCTAGCCTTTTACTGACCAAACACAGCCATAGCCCGTGCTTCGGCAGCTCATGCGTCTGAATTAGCTCTTCACACCTTCCCTACGAGGCAAGGACTGGCAGGCAAGAGACCCACTAGCCCAGGCAGCATCCTGCCCTCGCACTGAGACAGCTGGGGGCCCGGAGGACTCCGAGGGTGGAGGATAAAGAGCCTTTAAGAGGTCTGCGGGTGCTGTAAGGGGCCTGGGTGTTAAGAATCTTATCCATGTCCACAGCCCAGAGGAGAAATCATGGGCCTAAAACTGCATCGAGGGAAATGACAGCCAGCTTTAGTGTCGCTGTGACGAGCGCCTACATCGCAGGCATCCGCGGCTCCTGCCTGTGCCCTCGATGCCCGCAGCCGGCCCAGCCGTGCAGCGGGTAGGGGCAGGCAGCACAAGCGTTAGGAGATGGCCATGCACTAGGCGCGGTTTAATGTGCCAAGCTCAGCTCCGCCGGGGTTGATAGTAGGTCACTCTCGCCGCTACACACTGACACGAAAAGACTCCAACCTATCTGCCTGTGCCGGAGCATGGCAGCAGCTGGGCTTTCCGTTTCTACCAGTGATGGCTTGTCCGCAGGTGGGTCTTCTGCTGCTGGTGGGTCTTCTGCTGCAGGTGGGTCTTCTGCTGCTGGTGGGTCTTCTGCTGCTGGCGGGTCTTCTGCTGCTGGTGGGTCTTCTGCTGCTGGCGGGTCTTCTGCTGCTGGTGGGTTTTCCACCACTGCTGGTGGGTCTTCTGCTGCTGGTGGGTTTTCCACCACTGCTGGTGGGTCTTCTGCTGCTGGTGGGTTTTCCACCGCTGCTGGTGGATCTTCTGCTGGTGGGTCTCCCATTGCTGCTGGCGGGTCTTCTGCTGTGTCCCCACAGGGTGGGTGCTGGCAGCTGACAGGGCCACCCCTGGCTTCTCCCTTGCTGGCAGCTGCTGGTTTGCCACGGCTCTTTTTGCTAGAAGTGCCGTCTGTTTTCTTGTCATTCCCTTCACCTTCATCCTCTGCCCCCCCTGGCCCAGCATCCTGTTCCTCAGACTCCTCCTCAGACTCTCTTTCCTCCTTGGACTCTCCCTCACCTCCATCTTCCTCAGACTCCCCCTGGTCATCCTCTTCCTCTGAGCTCTGCTCTTCCCCACTGGGAGCAGATGTTGCTTTTGGCTCCTCCATTTTCTCTTCCCCAGGCTGCCCTTGCTCCTCAGAGGCTCCTTTCTTGCCACCAGACTCCTCTTCCTCCCTGGTGTGGAGTCCATCTTGTGGGCCAGGCCCGCCATTCCCTTCATGATGCGCTGCCTCAGGGGTGCCCAACACGGCATCCTCCCCTGGACCCTGTGCCGCACCAGTCCCCTCCTGGCCCTTCTCCATGGTGGTCTCCTCCATCTGTCCATCCCCAGGCCCCAGGTCCTCACTCAGGCCACCCGCCAGCTCTTCCTCCCCATCTCCCTGTCCCTCCTCAACGGCAGCAGGCGAGGAGGCGTTGGGGGAGCCACCATCTCGGTCCTCCTCAGGGCTGCTGCCGGCTGCCTTCTCCTCCAGCCTGGGCTCTGCAGCTGGCAGGGGGCCTTCAGCAGCAGCACCAGCATGGTCCGTGCCAGGGGCGTGCAGCTCTAAATGATGAGAACAGCTCGGTCAGTCTTACCCACACCGGCACACGGCTCCTGGGGCCACCAGCCCCCTGTCAGTGCCAGGGAGGGGGGGCCTGCCCTCAGAGCAGGATTTGTGGCTGTTATCAAGATGCTTAAACTCTTTCCTAAACCCTCTCTAGTTCCAGCTCCATTTTCTGTCCCTGTTGCAAGACGCTGGGTGCAAAGAGGGGTTTGGGGCTGGCAAAGCTGATGCTAGCAGGGGGCTCTATGGCTGGGCCAGCCATGGCTGCCCAGGGCTGCAGCTTCCACCAGCCATGAAGCGCTGCAGGAAGGTGGCAAAGCAGCCCTAAAAAATGGGGGGAAATGAATAAAAAAGCATAGCTTGAGGGGCCACGGGCACTTGGCAGGTTAAAAAGGTCCTTCCCCAGCCCTGCCTCAGGAGAGCATCACACCGGCCATGGCGAGGGAGAGGAGGAGGAATGGGTGCAGGGCTCCCAGCAGGGGTTTTCCACAGACAGGCAGGGCCTGACCCGGCAGCAGGGATCAGGAGCTATTTATTGTGAGCATCCCTTCACTAGGAAAGCATTTGCTGCGCTGTGCGGCTGGCAGGGACACAATGAGTTTGTTCTGTGGCCCGGGAGAAGCCATCCGTATTTTCCATAGGCCTCCAAGTGCGATTTAACATTAGTCAATGGGTGCCAAAAATAAAAGATCACTGGCTATACTGTCTCTGTTACAAACAGTTGCTGCTAGTCTAAATAATCCCCTGAAATGTCTAATGCCTGCATACCGGGGAAGTGTTTCAGAAGAAAATAATTCCTTTGTACTCCGGCTGGCAAGTTGATGCCAACCAGGAAAAAATGCCATCTCCACCCATGCTGCGGGAGGCAGCGCTGGGCACGGGCAGCACCGGGCACAGCCAGCCCTCTCCGCTGGCTCCTGTGCTGTATCAGTGCTGGGAGCTGCAGGGCTGCATGTCCTGTCAAGCATCTAAAGAGCTGGGGCTCGCTGACTTGGTCACAGGGACTGTGGTGGCTGAGCTAAGGCCGGGTCTGCAGCAGCCCCAGACCATTCAGACCAGTTTGCTGTGGCCAGGGATGCCGGGCCGGCGGTTGCATCACTGTCCGTGCTGGGGCCGGTAGTGCTGCTGGCCAATGGTCAGGCAGCAGCGGCAGGCTCATGACACAGGATGAGCCGTGCCAGGGGCTGCAGGGACAGGCTGCACCTCGACCTGCCAGGGTTTCTAGTAGCTCTCATGTGCAGCCTGGCATGATGGAGCTGCCTCCTCCACCCCTTTCCCTGCCAAAACCGGATGCACGGGTCACCCTTGCTCTGCCCTCGCTGGCCTCCTCCATCCTTTGCTGGCGCATGGCTCACAGGTGCCTCTGGGCCCACAGTTCAGCTCCCACCTGCCTCCCTCCCACCTGCAGCACGCTTCTCCCTCAGATCACCTTTCCACAGGACCCCTGGGACCTCTCGGCCTGGCAGGAGCTGCTCGAAGGTGAACATGCTACATCTGACCTGCAAAGCCCTGGGTGGCTGGAAGCCAGCATGCTGCTGCCTGGTCCCAGAGGCCTGGAGACCAGCCTGGGTCTCTTTAGGGTCCCCTTAGTTGACAGGGATATTCTCAGCTTGGCCCCAAAATAGCCAGTGACCTGAAGGGATGGGAGGGGAGTGTAGCTCCTCAGGAGGGCATCTGGTGACGGTCAAGGCAGCAGGGGACAGGAGGACCAAGCAAAGGAGACCGTGCACTTCCCCAGGGCTTTGTGCATGGTCTGTGTGTCCTCTGTGACCCAACACAGGAGCACAGAGCAGTCATCAGCTGCCGTGGCCAGGCATAACAGCAGCCCCAGTGCCCACTGCAAACCACCTCCCACGGGCACCCAGGCTCTACGACTGGGATGTTCCTGCCAGTGTGCTGGTCACAGGCTTTATTTCCTGTGACCTTAAGATCTCATGCAAAGTCCCTCTCCCCTCTCCACCTCCTTCTCCCTTCTGTTTCCCCTACATGGTCTCCAAATCCATCACACACCAAATTGTGCTGATCTGCAGATGGCCGGCCGATGAGCAGTGAAATGGGACGAAGGTTACAGGCTTAACACCCTCCGCACATCCCCTGGAGGCTAAAAATACAGCCCAGCAACTGTACAGGGAGTCAGAAGCAGCAGCTCGGTGGGGTGCAATGGCAAAGCACTGGCCCCCTCAGCCACTGGCCCCAGCCCCTTGCTCACTGCCAGCCAAGGGTGATGTCCTCACCTGGAGCACATCCCGTGGGTCCCTGTGAGCTGGGAGGGAGCGGGGACAACCATGTTGTAAAGTGACACTGGGACTCCCCTTGTTCACACCCTGCATTGTGCCAAGCAGCTGGGTGGCATCAGAGAGAAGCCCTTGCCCTGCTCCCCATGGGGACCTGACCTCCCAGAGGGTCCCCGGTTTACGCTGCCCTGAACCTCACACCCATCTGCAGGGGTTGGAAGGGTTGCCAGCAGCCTGGGGATCCCTTCTCCAGCAGTGGCAGCACCCTGGGGCACAGCCATGGGGACAGAACTCATGGCAATGCTTTGGGTGCCACAGGATGCCCCAGTTGGTTTGCATCAAGGAAAAGCCCATGCAGAAAGCACAGCAATGAATGCCGGAGGCTGAGCATGACCCTGCCATGGTGTCACCACCATCCCTGCATGGGGCCATGTGGAACGGCAAGCAGCACCCTGGCGCCGAAACGGGTCCTCCGCAGGGACAGCCCCCAAGCACGGCGCCGGGGCAGGGGCCATCTCAGAGGGATAGATGGGCACAGGTGGCCCCTGAGGGACATGCTCCTCCTCCAGCAGAAATAGGAGCCCCGAGTGTGGGGCCGGGGATGTGCAGCGCTGCAGGATGGATTTTCACACGCCCCCTTCCCCTGCTCTGATCCCCGTTTATCCTCCAGCTCCTGCGTGTCCTGCTCTGCCTCTGTCCTCCCAGTGGGGTTTCATGGGGAGCTTACACCCCAAATGTCTGCCCCTTCCTTTTCAGGGAAAGGCAAGACTGCTTTGTTCTGACGTAGCCCTTTAAAACCCCATAGAAAATAGCTGGACCCAAAAGAGCTACCCAGGATTTTCCATGGAAGACACCAGCCACACTGCTTGACTCACTGCAAACCCCCACGTCCTGCAGGATCTCCCCCCACCATTTAATGGCAATGTTCCCCATAGCGCCAGCTCAGGGACGCACTGTACCCCTGGTGCTTCTCCAGCTCATGGCCCCACAGCCGGGGGCTCAGGCTGGCTGGGGACCTCACACAGGTTTGCCAGGGCTCTGGTACTCAAGCCACCACCCCATGGCACTTGGCCCCTGCCTGCCCTGGCCATGAGGTGCCGCAGAGGTCTACTGGGGAGAGGATGCACAGGGATTGTTCCATGCTGCTGTCACTCAGCAGCCTGGGAAAAAGAGGTAGAGCAGGTTGGCCCTGAGCCTGACCTTGCACAACCAGTAACGCCTCCCAGGTGGGAGGCAGGGCCAGGGGACCCCAAAGTGGGAGGTGTGCCCCTCACTTGGGATCAGGCCTGGGCACCCCAGCCTTTCATATACACCCTGGGCGCTTGGCCAGGATGCAGCAGAGGACAGCATCTCCTCTCCGCTCTTGCCATGCCTCGGTTTCCCACTCTGCATCATCCCAGCAGAGCCCGGTGCTGCTGTCAAGCCCTGCAGGGGAAGGTCCAGCGTTCTGTTGCTCACATTTCCCATGGCAGCCCTTTGAGAGGCAGGACCCTAGCTCCAGTGCCAGTTTAAAACCAGCCAGGCCATCACCTTCACCTTGGAGAGGGAAGTGTTCAGAGCAGCTCAAAAGGCCCAGAGGACACCAGCACAAGGGTGACCAAGGAGGGGTTGGCTCTCCAGACCCTTGTGCACCCAAGAGTTCAGGACACCCAACCACAGCAGCCCATTCCAGAGGCCTCATGATCCCAAAGCATTAGCAAAAAGCAGTTATTTTCCAGTTTTTCAATGCAGAGCCCAGCAGGGGTATGGGAAACGGCTTTGTCAGACTATCCTAACCTCATCTGTGGAGGAGATCTTCAGTTTAGTTGAAGGAAAACATATAAATTGATTTGATTTCTATAAATAGTTGGCTAGAACTACATGATATTTTGATTAAGAAAGGGTAAAGAAACCTCACCAGGCTGTTCCAAAGGGATTAAATCCAGGCTTGCAGCTTTCTAAATATAGGGATGAAATCGGGGAATCACTTCTACAGGGTGTTTCTTCGACTGCCTTTAGGCATCCACCCTGAAGATCGAGAGGAAAACCTGAGCTCTTGACTTGCAGAAGACACGAAGATCAGGGTGGGGAGAAGATAAAGCAGTTGGCGCTCCCTGGCCAGGGTAGATGTGGGCCCATAAGTGAGCAGAAAGCCAGACTAGAGCTTGTATTTTGGCACAGGCAGATGTCAGGCTCTACGGTGAGGAACATTTCTCCACCTGTGGTGTCCCTTGTGGGGTCTGCAGCCTCGGGGTGCTGAAGGACCTGAGGAAAGCTCTGTGGCATGGCTGGGCCTGAAGGACCCCCTTCCTTTAGAGGGGGGACTCCTGAGGTCACACTGGTACTGTCTCTGGGCCTCCAGCAATGGGAGGCTTCACCAACCCACCCCAGCACTTCCCAGTGGGTAGCCTCCACAGACTCAGGGTAAGACTTCCTGGGTGAAGACTCCCCATGGCTCTTTTTGGTCATCCCAAGGATTCCCGGTCACCTGGGCAGGACAGGGAGCGCCATTGGACTCGTCAGCCTGGATTTTATGCCTGATGATTTGTTGTCCCAGATCCTCAAATCCACGGGGATGTCTGGGCCATGCCAAAGAGCAGTACCCAGCCCTGGGGGTCTCACCCATACCCCCAGCAGCAGGATGGGGGGGATCCCAGCTCAGCCGTCGCACAGGGATGGGGTTACACACCTCTGATCCCATCCACGCCGCGTCCCCATGCGCGAGGAGGTGGCAGGGTCAAGCCACATGCCTGGCTGGCACTAGGGCTGTGCTGCTGCTGCCAGCACCCCAGCCCGCCTTGGGATGCCCGGCTGGAGACTCCCAGCCCCTCTACCAGCCCCCACGGGCACACGAGTGCATCGGCTTCCTCGAGCTATCGCTTACCAGGGAAATGTCCCCATGGGCTCAAAATAGCTGGGCAGAGCCCTGCCAAGGCTCCAGGGCCACTGCTGCTCCTGCAGCACCAGGGAATGGGCAGTTTGTGAGAGATCTGGTCAGCCATGGACCTTCTGGCCAGGCCGGTCTCAGCACCCTGCTGAATCCCTGCTTCCAGCACAGGTAGCTGGCTCCTGCATGGGGATGGTGGATCAGTGAGTGGGGACACAGCAGGACCATGGCAAGAGCTCAGCCCACTGAGTGCTGTCCAGGGCACAGCACAGCCCTCCCAGCACAGTGCTCTCACAGGACCCACTGGTGGCCCTGTGCCCTGTCCTTGCCATCCTGCCCAGCTGGCTGTCACCTACACACTGAGACAAGGGTATCTGATGGGAGAGGCTGTCACAGCACAGTAACATGCTCAGCGTCTGCCTTGGTTTGCTCAAACGGTTCGTGAGAGAGATGAGGTCCCCACAGGGGCCGGGATGTCCTCCAGGTGAAGTATTAGGGATGTGAGAGGGATGCTGGGGGCGCAAGTAACCAAAATCTGTGGGTACCTGTGGCACCCCGAGCCCTTTGCCTCACTGGGCACCCCTGTACCCAATAGTGGTGGTGCTCACAGTTGTGCTTGTCCTGGGGGGAAACTGGAGTGAGACCAGTGGCACGTCAATGGGACACAAGCAGTCCCCCATCTCTGGGGAAGCTGGTTGCCTGGGATGGCCAAGGTGGGGAGACCCCATAGATGCTGTGTCCTGGGGCCCTGAGCCCACCTGAGGTGACACAGGTGGTGGAGCCCACTCCAAGATGTTCTGTTCTAGGAGGTGAAGCCCACCCTCAAGTGACACACGCCAGGCGGTGGAGAGCACCCCAAGGTGACATGTCCTGGGTGATGGATGGGGAGCATCCCAAGATGCCATGAGGCCATCGTGATGGAGCCCATCCTGAGGTGACACCTCCCAGGCTGGGACAGGATGAGGAGTCTCAGGCTCACTGTCAGCAGGAGAGGTCTGTGCCAGCCCTGTAGTGCCCTCAGCACATGCTGCAGGAGGACACCAGCATGCCAGGGCTTTCCTCAGCCTCACCCAGCTTGGAGATGGTGACAGCACAGCGCAGCGCCCACTCAATCCTGCGGTGGCTGGGGCGGGCAAGGGCTCCCCAGTACAGAGCTGCCAAGCACAGCGAATGGGCACTGCCCGTTCCCAGTGCTCACAGGGACTCACTACGGGCACCCAGCCCGGAAGGGATGGCCGGGCTCTGCCCAAGGTGCGAGCACACCTTCACCTGGTGGGAGCAGGGATGGAGCAGAGGGCGAGTGCCCTGCAGGCTGCAGTGGGTGCTGGCCTCTGCCAGAGATCCCGGTGCTCCGGGGAGCTTTGCCAACCACTTCCCACCCCTGGCCTCCAGGAGTGGTGACAGGGCCTCAAGTGGCCCCAGGCACCACCAAACCTGCCCTTGCCACGAGGTCCACACCTCTCCACAGTGCATCATTGAAGCCTCTGGTTCTCTGCCGGGCTCCCCCCACCTTTTCTTCACTAAAGGGGAATTAAATGGGCAGACAAGGCTCACAGATGGGAGGACAATCCACCTGAGCCACCTCCTGCACCCCAAAGGAGGCTGGGTCTGAGGACCCAGCTTGGCACCAAAGGAACGGCAAAACCCATTGTGCAAACTCCACTGGTCCCTGTGGAGCAGAAGCACAGCAGGAGCTGGGCACCTGCTTGCATCTTCTTACCAGACCTACAGGACCAGGGTGAAATTCCAGACACATGAGCAGGAGACCTCCAGCTACGCTTGGACCTGGCTCCAGAGCTGCAGACCCCAATGCGCCTCCTGGCCCTGGAGCCACCTCCAAGATGGAGGATCCCAACGCTGGCCTGAGCCGGGTGCTGGTGATGAGGTTCCCAATCCCATACCTGGAACCATGGCATCACGCAGGCTGCTTCCTATCTGCCACTGCTTGGGACATGCCAGCCTCCATGTCAGCCTCAGGACAACCAAGAGCTGGGCTGGTGGTCACTCACCATGGTGGCAGCCACCCCATCCCCAGACCCGACCCACGGCCCCACAGAGGTCACCCCACCACCAGCGGGGTGCATGGCTGGCCCTAAACCCCCTTTACCCACCAGAATGGCCCAAGATGCCCTTAAAAGGCCAAAACTCGTGTGGGCCGGGGGTGCCGGGTGCTGGAAGGCGGCAGCTGCGGGTGCCGGTGCGCGGGGCCGCAGCGGTGCAGGGCCGGGGGGGCCAGGGCGGCTGCAGGGAGCACAGTGTCCCCTTACACGGCTGTTTCCATACTTAGCTGCCCCTCCCAGCAGCGCAGCCGCCCGAGCCTGGCCAGGCAGAGAACCGGCCCAAATTAACTCAAGGGCAAGCAAGGGTACTAGCAATGCCACCCTGCTGCATGGCCCCAGGGCTAGGATCTGGGTGGTCAACGGAGGCAAGACAGCCCAGGGAAGGGGGTCCAGGCTCACCCAAAGTGCTGTCTTGCTTGGCAGGTCTCTGTGTGGAGGGGAGACCCCCAGGGCAAGCAGCCTACCCCATCCCGCTCCGACTACCAGGTGCCCCAGCACCCTGGAAGCCCCCACCCCGGTCCCCACACCCCAAAACCAAGCCACCTCAGCACCCGGGGGTGGCACTGACCCTGGACACATCAGTGGCAGCACAGCCCCTGCGCCCACCCTGGCTCCAGAGCGCGGACCCCAGCACATCCCCCCCCCCCCCCAGCCCCTCCTGGTCACAGCCCCCACCGCGTTTCCCTGCACATTTTGGGGTGACTGCAGCCCTGGCAGAGATGCTGGGGAGCCTGAGCAGCTGTACCCCTGACACCCTGTCCTGCTACAGGCACCTACCCAGCCATGGGGTGCAGGCTGGGCTCACCAGGCACCCCAGTGCCTCACCGGCACCTGCAGCCCCACAGGCACCCACAGCCCTGCCAGCACCAGCAGCCCTAAGGGTACCTGCAGCCCTGCAGGGCACTCACAGTCCCATGGCACCTGCAGACCCACGGATACCTGCAACCTTGCAGGGCACTCACAGCCCCATGGCACCCAAAGCCCCACAGGGACCCACAGTCCTGACGAGCACCCACAGCCTCACAGGCACCCACTGTCCCAAAGATGCCAAAAGTCCCTGCGGGTACCCACAGATCAGAGGCACCCATGGCCCCATAGTCACCCCAAGCCCTATGGGTGCCCACAGCTCTGCTGGGTGCCCACAGCCCCATAGACACCTACTACCCCACAGGCACCCACAGCCTCACAGGCACCTTGCAGTCCTATGGGGACCCGCAGCCCCATGAGACCCCATATCTCCATGGGACCCCTCAGCCCCGTGGGCACCCATAGCCCTATAGGGACCCCCAGTCCCACGGAGACCCACAGCCATGTTTTCACCCACAGCCCCATGAGGACCCTGAAGCCCCACGGGCACCCACAGCCCTGTGGGCAGCTTGTACCTGCAGTGCCGAAGAGCAGGAGCGAGGCCACACAGCAGCAGAGCAGGTTGAGGCGCTTCATGGTGGCTGCCAGGAGCTCCTTGCCGCTCGCTGCCTCTATTTATACGGCGCCAGGCGCAGGGCAGGGCCGGGCCGGCAGCTGCCGCAGGGCCAGCACAGATGCTGCTGCTGCTGCCCCTCTTCCACTCCCAGGGGGCCCTGGGGAAGGGGACAGGGACGGGAAAGGGGCACAGCGGCGGTGCTGCAGCACCGGGTAAGGGTCATGGATGAGCCATGGATGCGGTGGCACCCTGGCATGGGGTTCCTTGGGCAGCACTGCCCATGCGGGGTCACGGTCTCCGTCACAGCATCCCACTGGCATGACGTAGTGGAACTCCTTGCGCTGCCTCAAGTCCCTGCAGCTCGTTTTTGGCAGGATCAGGATTTCATGGAGGGGGAGAGCCAAGCATCATGGCACCGCAGAGTCCCCCATCTGTCCCCAGGCACCTTGTCCTGGGCCGTTTGGGAGCCTCTTGGGCCACCGCACATCACCAATTCCAGGCAATGCCATGTACCCCGTAGGCAAGGGACATGCCTGGGTGTGTCCCCATCATCACCAGCACCACACTGGGAGCATGGCATGGGGATGGTGGGGGCCGGAAGTGCAGGATTTCCAGCTCCTACCACCCTCACTTGTAGGGGACAGCTATTCAGCACTGTCCCCAGAGCCTGTCTGCAGCAGACCATCACTGGAGGAGCCGCTTTTGGGGGGCCATGACCCAGCTTCCTTCTGGGAAAGGGACAAATTGGAGGAAAACATGAACCCCCTCCCCTGCCCAAGCCCAGCTCTCCTTGCAAATGTGGGAGCAAGGAGCCCCTGGCCCCGAGCTGGAGGTGTCAGGAGGGGACAATGGTGAGGGAGCAGGCAGGAGCCGGTCCTCAGCTGGGCACCACTGAGCACCATGATGTGGATAGGGAGTGGGAGGAGACCCAGAACCAGGGAAAATGGCAAGAGGTGGGTGCCCACCCCCAAAAAAAAAGCCTTGTTGAGAGATAGGTGCCCCCCCCTCGACAGAGCCATGAGGCAGGCCAACAGCCCCATGGAAAGCCATGGGGAGATGAGTGCCCCCTCCAGCTAGGGGACACCCCCATCCTGGAACACCACAGGTGCCATCCGCAGGGCAGAGGATACAAAACCTCACCCCAGCCTTATGGCCTTGCTAAAACCAGCCCCAGAGCCCCCCTCATTGCAGCAGCAAGCTGAGCCCCAGTGTGCTTGCAGCATGTGCGGGCAGCTCTGGCAGGGCTGAGCTTTAAATATAGCCCAGTCACTCAGCAGGAAACCTTGCTGGGGCCAGCATCCTCCTGCCCGCACCCTGCCTGCAATTGCCACTGCAGGCAGTGCTCCCTCTCCTCCCCACCGGCCCCAGGGCCCCCAAGAGGGACCAGGGTCCCATAGGGCCCGGAGCTGACGCCGTCCCCATCACCCCCACAAATGTTAACGTCCGGACCGAGCTTCTAAAAAACCAAGTACAAACTTTATTTTGTTTCTTTACAAAGGCACGAGCCTCTTTTTTTTTTTTCCACTTTCTTAACAAAATAGAATAGCTTCTCAATCAACACAAAGACCTGAAAATCGTAAAAAAAAAATACAAAATAAAACAAAACAAAACAAAAAAACAAAAAAAACAAAAAAAAAGGGAAAGGAACCGAGAAACAGCTGCGGCAGGGGGGAACCTACCAAATACCACCCAGGCTCTACACACAACTGGCCTAAAACCCTACAGCCGGGCGGGGGGGGCGGCGGGGGGGGGGCACACAGAATGGGGACCCCCCCCCCCCGCCACAACAGACCCAAGCGACACAATCACGAAGTAGAAAAGCTCTTTGGAGCTGAGAGACCCCGCAAACCGGATTAAGTGCTTAAAGGAGAGATGGGAGCAAGGTGGGGGGATGGAGACAGGGATGGGGGTGTGGAATCAGGCCCCGAACCACCATCCCTGTGCCAAAGAGGTGGGCACTGGAAACACTGCAGGGTGGCATGTGCTGTCCCTCCCGCCTGTGCTCCGATGGCATAATCCCAGGATTTATTTTGGTCTCCCAAGGGGTTTTCCCTGCCCCACACAGTGTGGGAGCCGTGGTGGGGCTGGGTGTACCCCAAAGCCAGAGATCCCTGTCCCACCTTTGCTGCCGTGTCACTTGGCATCTCCCTGCTGCTTAAAAACAAACATTTAATTAAAAAAGAAAAAAAAGAAAACAAACCACAAAAGAGAAGGAAAAACCAAATTAAGATCCCAACCAAAGGCCCCATCCCAAGGGAAAACCATCAGGAACACAGGGCGACTTGGCAGGATTTCCCATTGGTCGGGGGGGGGGGAGGGGGTGTGATAACATGGGGTGGGGAGCCGTGACCCCCCCATCCCTAATGTCCCACCACCACCATCCCACTGCGCCCCGAGCCCCCCAAGTCCCCTGTGGCCACCTTTGGGTGCCCACCCCCCCCCGAGCCTCCCCCCCCGGGAGCTGCAGGGTGCCCTTTGCCTGCCTCTAGCGCTCTGCTTTACAGTATTGGGAAGAGGTCATAAAAGAGACCCAAATCGCGTTGTATTTTGTAAAAATCTCAGCATATTCTCTGACGTTCCCCCCCCGCCCCATCCCCAACCCGGCTGCCGGCCGGGGGGTGTCAGGGCAGCTCCCCGTCCCCGGAGGGCTCCTCTTTGCTCTGGTCCATGGAGTCACTGTCGTTGCCCTCGGTATCGGAGGCAGTGTCGGAGGCGGAGGGCTCGTGGCAGGCGCGCGCCGGTGTCACGATAACAGCGCGTCTCTGCTCCTCTTCCTGCAGCTGCTTCTCGTGCGTCCCCTCGATGTGCTGGATCGCCTGCCGAGGGCAACCGCCGCCCATCAGGACATCGTGTACCCTCTTCTGATGCACCCAGCAGGGTGAGGGACCCCCCCCAAGGCACCCCTGCCACCGTCCTCCCCGGTGCCCCCCTTACCTGAACGATGGTGTCAAGGTTTTGCCGGGATGTGGAGACTGTGTTGATGACCGAGGACGGGCCCATGGTGACCACGGTGACGTGATGGGAGGGAGGCGGCGCTGGAACGATCACAGTGGGGTGGTGGGTGGGCGCTGGGGGAGCATGTGATGGCAGGAGCTGAGGAGAGAAGCAAAAAAACCCCTAAGTCAGAACAGACCAGGGCACGGTGGTGATGGGGAGAGCATCACACTTGTTTGTGGAGACCAAACTCCTTTGAGAGCCCACAAAAACTGAAGCAGCAGCTCAGCTGCTCCAGTTCACCCATCCCGGCCAAATGCGAGAGGGTGCCAGCTGAAAACTGCATCACCTTAGCTTTGGCAGAGCGGAACGTAAAAAACTCCCTGTATTCCAAAGGGGGAAAGATTTGGACTTTTAAGCCAAGGAGAGGCAAGTGCCAGCCCTCCCATTGTCCTGACCTGCACAGCTGGGAACCCGCCGCACCCCTCCGAGCTCCTCATTAGAAGAGCAGATGGGAAGATCCACCCTAGCAAGAGGCTAAGGAGAGTTCACCTAAAAATAGGCTGAACTTCCCCGGGAGGCGGCCGGCAGGGATCCTGCAGGGACACAGCTCCACAGAAGCCAAGGGAGGGAGGAAGCCGGTTTTTCTCCCTCCCTTTGAAGCTCCTCAGACCGGCATCCCCCCGGCTGAGCTCCAGGGTGGCTGCAAGCAAGGACAGGTGCCAGCAGTGAGCAAGGACGGGTGCCGGCACTGCGCTCACCCTGCGCTCGCCTCCTCACTGCACCAGGCTGGCCAAAGGCTCCCCCCACCGTTAGCAAATCCAACTGTGTTTCAAGGCAAAAAGCAGAAGGCTCCATCCCTGTTGTCCTGCCACATCTGCCCAGCACCACTGCCTGCCAGCTTGACTGCTCCCCCTTCCTAGCCTGGTGGGTGGCAAGGAGCGATTTGGGGGTCCCCAGAACTCAGCAGGAGTCACCCAGCAAGAGGTGATCCCCCAGAGATGAGGCTGGCCTCCACACCACTGCAAACCACCTGCCCCAGCACAGGGACCATTACCTGCATCAGCCACTGCCAGCATCACCCCTAGATGGGATGGACGTCACTTCATCACCTGGGGGTGAAGAAATGTGCCTGCTGGGAGCTGGAGCAGGACCACACCTCACTCAAGTGGGAGCTGCTCCCCACTCATGCCTGCTGGGGAGAGCCTAGCAGGGAGGGACATGCTGCTGGAGGGGCAAATGAAGGGTGGCCGCATCCAGCACCTCCCAGCACAGCTTTGGAAAGCTGTGGGCCTGCTAACACCAAGCTGAATGAATGCCTGCCTACCAGAAAGCAACCTTCCCAAACAAAGCCATCCGCGCTGGGGAACAGAGCTGCTTGGAAGCTGCTGCACCATGGTCCAAGCCATGATCCACACCACCACCACCGGGTACCCAATAAACGCAGCTCCCCCACCACCACCAAAACCATCGGCCCCGTAAGTGCAGCTCTCCTGGATGCTGGAGTGGTCTGCGCAGTGACCTCTTCCCAATTCTCCAAGGGAGAAAGCTTTGCTGGGACCTCACTGTCCATCCCAGCCTAGCCCACAGAAGGTGCCAAGCACATCACCAAACTGCCAGACTGCCTGTATTTCATTTCCCATGCACCCAGCTGCACCATTCAGGTGGTGGGACCCATGGCTGGGCTACAGCCAGGGTGGGCTGGGACAGCGTCTACACTCACCTGGGTTCGGATCTGCTGCTCACGCTCTAGCTTCTCCTGGTGCAGCAATCTCACTTGCTCCTGCTGCTGCTGGAGCTGCACTTGCTGAGCGATCACCTTCAGCTTCTCGGGGTACATGTGGGCCTCCAGGGAGCGAACCTGCCAGCCAAGAGAGCCCTGACATTGGTGGGGAGCCCAGCCTGCTGCTGGCACAGCACCCCCTGATCCCCAGCCACGGGCTGTCCCCCTCCATGCAGTGGCCACAGCAGAGCCAGGGCGCCCATAGCCAAGCACAGTGCAGAGGTGGCTAGAGCAGATGACCTGGTACACTCCAGCCGCACCAGCATTCCCAAGGAGCTCCAGCAGGGCTAAAGGATGCTAAAGTATAGATCCAGCTGGATCTGGCCCTCCATGGCCTCACCTGCTCCTCCAGCATCATGCGGACCGAGCGCTCCTTGT